AGGCACCCTACTTATCAAACTCTTTTTCGAGCTAAAAACCATGGCTCATCAGACTGAGTCACAAAGACAAAATCAATAAAAGTAGTACTACATCCGACTGTACCTCAATCTCAGAACCAAGTCGAGAAGCCATACTAAAATTCTTCTATATTTAAATAAAGCTTAGATCCGTTCATGGTCTATATAAGAGAGAAGTTAGTTATCCGGCATAGATATAATTTTTAGCCGGACATAGTCACGGCTTAGATAGGAGAATTTATAAAAGTAAAAGACAGGAAGAATGAGAAAAGAAAGTACCTTGTTGTTACCAAATCGCACACTTTATTATTCCAGCCAAAATCCGTCAAGCTTACAAAACTTAGTAAGAAAAGTTTACAAGAAAGAGAGAGAGTGCAAAACGGAAGAGAGGGTTTCTAAAACCTGCCCTCAATTAAAGAAAAACAAACTTATTTATAGAAAAAAAAAAGCATCTTTGTACAGGATAATGGGCCCCTATCTGGGTCCTGGTAACAATGTATCTACTGTTGGTGAACAGTGTTGCTACAGTAGCGCGGGCCTACTATCGACGCGGATAAGCTTTACACTTCTTTTTACATCTTGTCCTTTAATTTTGCCAAAAAATCTTCGGCTTTCTTCAGTGCATCTACTAGCGCGTCTTCTTCATGTAGTTGAGCTTCGTGCATATCTTCATTTGTTTCACTACGCATTGATGAATCTGATTTTGCGTAATGACTTACATTTAGAAGAATCTTTTTCTTTACTTCTTCTAGATACCTCATAATCATTTCATTTTGTTCTCCTTTATCATGATTAGAAATTTTTCTAGCCATATGTTTTACGAAGGTTGAGTCATCAGTCATAATTCCTTTATTAGGAATCAATTTATAATCGTATATGGTTTTCGTTATTAGATCCAGCAGTTCTTGTCCGTATATAAACTTTGTTTGAGGATCTTTCTTTATCAACTTGTCCCAAAAATTATTATAATAAGTTCTGTATAGGCAAGGGATTTGTTCCTCAGTGAAATCTACTTCCGAAACCCATTTATGAATCCATGGAACAGAGAATTCTATAAAAAAAATATATCTGTTCAATTTATTGAAAATAACAAATATATTCTTGATGATATAATTTGTTGAGATCTGGGGAAATTTTGACCCATTCTTTGTATAACTTGAGAAATGGTTCGGGCAATATTTTTATGGTTGGCCCGTGGTATGACCACCAGTTTAAAAATCAATTTGGTATAGGGTTAGCAAATATCTTGGCACATACTTTTATAAACCAAGTATGTTTATGCCTCTCATTGTTATAACAGAGGACTTTATTAAATGTCTGAATATAATCCCAATAGATAAAGCTTATCATGACTTTGTTCAGACTGAATTGTCTTTCAGTCATTGAGGAAATACCCCAATCTTCAATATGAATGATGTATTTTATAATCATTTTAGAGAAGTTATAAATATTCTCACTTGTATTATATCCTGAAAAATGTTGAAATTCAACACATGTGCTTATCAGCAGAGTCTCATAATATACCAACGATACAGGTCAACGATACAGGATCACTGACCTAGCGGTGGTCCGCCCAGTCATAGATCAAGCAAGTCAATATCCTTAGAGGTAGTCCAACTACATAAAGGGGATGATCTTCCCCTTCCGTGAGTATAACTGCTTTTTCCTCTAGCCTTGGTTATCCAAGGAGGATCCATCCTGCAAACATAGCATTTAGTTTTAATCATTCAATAGGTTATATTTTTAATCATTCAAGAGGTTATAAACTTCATTACAATAAAATCTTTCATAAAGCTCTTGTTCAATCATGTAATCATTGACGATATCTATCACCATTCCGTCTATAATTCTCCATAATATAAGTTCCTTTAAATCTCTATTAAGAGGAACTGCCTTCAAAATCGTAACCAAATCTTTACCTGGAAAGAAGTCAAGAAAACCCATCAGAAGAAAGATATTCTCTTGATAAGAAGTCTGGGAGGGAATTATCACTTCCCTTTTTATAATGAATTTCGAAATCAAAAGGGGTTAATTGTGCCTGCCACCAAGCAAATATTAACTTAGACGCATCATGTTTAAAATCTTTATCAAATATATACTTGACTGACTAAGCATCAGTTTTTATCAAGAATTTTTTATTATATAAATCATCTTGAAATTTTAATACGCACTTAACGATAGTTAACATTTCATGAGCTACCGTCGCATATTTTTTCTGAGCATTGCTCCATTTTCCTAAATGAAATCGAATAAGATATTCATTTTTATCATGCGGATTAATTTGTTTCAATATGCCTCCATACCCAATATTAGACGCATCCGTCTCTACAACCAATATTAGACGCATCCGTCTTTACAATCTTTGGCCAAGCAGGATTAGCAAGGGTTAAACAAGGTAAAGATTTAACTCTTTCTTTAATAGTCTTTACAAGATCTGTGAGACTATTAGTCCAAAGCTTCTTATGATCCTTTTTTAGCCTGTCATATAACAGAGCTAAATCTCGAGACAAATTCTTGTAGAATGGGGAAATATAGTTTAAACTTCCCAGAAACCGCTGCAATTGCGTCTTATCTGTAATAATATCAGGGAATTTTGATGCGAATTCAATAGATCGTTGAATAGGAGTCATTTTTCCTTGACAAATCAAATGACCCAAAAATCTAACTTCTGTTTGAAAAAGACTCATTTTAGGTTTAGATATGACCAAACCATTTTGAATAACTATTTTCTTAAAAATGTTTAAATGCTTAATATGCATTTCAAAAGTCTCTGAGTATACCAAAATATCATCAATATAAACTATGATGAAATCCAAATAGGGATTAAAAATATCATTCATTATCTTTTGAAATTCTGAGGGAGCATTTTTTAACCCAAAAGGCATTACATTCCATTCGTACTGTCCAAACGGAACATTAAATGTCGTTCTATATGAATGGTCTCTAAATATTTGGATATGCCAATATCCAGATTTTAAATCAAATTTTGAAAAGACATTAGCATCATATAATCTGGTTAATAAATCTCTTTTATTTGGAATAGGATATCTAATCCATTTTAAAATTTTATTTAAAGGTTTATAATTTATAACTAACCTGGGAACACCTCGTTCTTTTTCTGTTGCGTTATTATTAACATAAAAAGCAGTACACGATCATGGTGATTTGGAAGGCTTGATCAAACCTTTTTGTAATAAATCATCAATTTCCTTTTTGCAGAATTCAACCAATTCGGTATTCATCTGACAAGGACGTGATTTGGTAGGGATATTTTCCTCAGAGAAATCATCTTCATATGGAAGAGTTACAATATGCTTTTTCCGATTCCAAAAGGCACTAGGATGATCAACACAAATATCAATGGCCATTTTTTCAAAAATGAGTTTAATCTTTTCCTGTACTTTAGCAGATTTTAAAGTATCGAATATATTCATACTAAATATTTCAAGTTGTAAATAATCAACATGCTTTTGTTCATTTCAATTAGAGCATTACTATCTCTAGAAATAGGCTCGGTGATAAAAGTATAACTAATATCTTGATTTTTATAGGTGGCAGAAAATCCTTTAGCATTTATATTAGTAAAAGGATAAATTGCATTTATAAAAGGAGTTCCTAGAATAATAAGAGGGTATAACTGATTTTTTACTAAGAAAAAGAAGTGAGGAATACAAACTTTATTTTGGCAAATACAAGTATTAGATAATTTATACTTTATATCTAAAGCATGACCAGATGCAGATTTAACCAAATGAATTATTTTTTCAAAATATTTAGTAGGTATTAGACCTTCTTGAATGCAACTCACATCAGCACCACTATCAATCATAGCAATGTTAGTTATAGAAAAAGTATTATCAATTAATATAGTACATTTAACATCCATTTATGAGCTGTAACAATTTGCATCATTCCTAAAAACATATTTTGTTTCGGATCAATATTCAAAGTGTTGGCAAGAGTATTTTCTTCAGCAGTAGATTCATCAACCTTATTTTTTCCTTTGCTATTAGCAGACTCAATCTGAGTAAGACGGTGATCACAAATAATATGATTTTGTTTAAGAAATTTAATTTCTTCCTTCAAACGTTCAATTTCTCCTTTTAAATCATCAAAAGAGGTATCACGAATAATCATGGTTTGTTTAGAAGAGAGTCTATTATGAACTTCAGACAAGGAGTAAGGAGCAGAATAATTAAACTCATTTTAACCTTTTATCATTAGGAATACTAGTTGAAGAGCTAGTTTTACCAGCAGCCAATTGAATGATCTTTTCACGAAAAGTATTATCGGTAACTTCTTTTAGAAGTTCTATCACATTGTCTGCAGTGATAGTGAACATATTCATGTCTTCGAACTGAGATTGCAGCTAGTAAAATTCATCATGTTCACAGTGACAAATATCACCACGACATTTGCAAGCATCATTCGAATCTTGATGAACCTTAGAAGGCTTAGGTTGCTCATCCTCTGTTGCATAACTTGCTTTAGAATCATCATAATCTGATTCGGAACCAAAAGTATATAGAAAACTATAAATCTTCTCTTGAATATCATCATCAAATTCTAGAGTCTTAAGCTTTTCCAGCTTACAATTTGGAGCTATATGCCCAAATTTTTCACATTTATAACACTTAATCTTATCAAGATTTCGCCTTGACCTATTCCTGGTAAATCTATGAGATTTACAATGAGCCCTACACTCATCTCTTTCTTCTCTAGTCCTTCTTCTAGATCTTCTTTTCTTATGATGAGATCTATGAGATTCTGATTTAGAAGTTTCTCGGTTGGTGCTTTTTGAAGCATTCGGTAAACCGAATTGAGTACAAAAATCTCCTAATTGAGACTTTTCTCTAAGCTTATCCATTTTAAGCTCTCTTGAGAGTTTTAACTCACTGCACAAATTTATGCCTTCTTGCGTACATGCCCCAATAAGCTTTCCATAAGTAAAATCATTATAGGGAATAATTCCTTGTGGATTTCTAAGAGTCTTTTTTACTCTTTCTGCAAATAAAGAAGGTAAGCCATCAATAAATTTGGCTTTCCAGAATTCTAAACCATTTTCGGGAAGTTCCATTACCCGACTTAAATAAGTGTCTTTATACTATCTAAACTCACTTAAATGTATACATCTAAGACCATTTAGTAGAGATCTAATGGTTTCATATTGATTGGTAAATCTACCACTAAAATGTTCAAGAATAGTCAAAATAAGTGTATACACAGCGTCTTCTCTATTGTGAACAAGGGCAAAGCCTAAATTATCAACTCCTTCATTTACTGCCTTAGCACTAATTACTACGGCTCTCGCATCAGAGGGCATATAATTATCCCACCATCCTCTTAGTTAACCGATAAATCCTGCAATAATAATCTTGCAAATGGTCTTGTCAGTGTTACTAACACTTTTGCAGATAGTAGCATACATAAGCATCCTATGAACCATAACTGCTTCATTATCAAAAAATTTATGAAAAGCAGTAAAAGTAATACCAGTATTATTTGGTAAAATAAACGGAGCTT